TGAGTCTCAGGACGATTCCATTGCATAATAATGAAAATCCTATTATTTTATCGTAGGTTTCTTGGGTATACCCCTTATTGATGAAATAATTTGTGATAAATCATTCATCTCGATTACTGGTCACTGGCTCTGGTGATACTGGTGATGTGGAATGGTGATAAATAAATCAATAGGGTAAGGGTATTCCGCGGGAAAAAATTTTTTTTTTCAAATGGAACCCCCTGTATATTATTGCATATTTCGAAAGAGCTCTCTTTCCTGATTTCGAAAATATATGATGATGATGATATTCGACAAACTGTTCTGTCAAATGTAGCAGTCAAATACTTTACATAATTATTCTTACTTGGTAATCTCCTGTCTGGATAACTCCTCCTATACTTACTAACTGTTTCAGCAAGATTTTTATTAACTGAAAAATAACACTCCAAAATATCTCTTCTTTGTTGTTGACCAAATCTCAATTCACTTATTCATCATCTCATTCTATTTCAACCATAGCAATCTTGAACCAAAGATTAATATTTGATTTTGCTGATATTTCGTCAAGCCCTCAATAGAATATATGAAAAGTAAATATTTTCGAAATCAGGAAAGGGAGCTCTTTCGAAATATGCGATAATATATAGGGGGTTCCGTTTGATAAAAATTCTTTTCTCACAAACCCTGTATATATATGAAATGATAAAATCAAGCGGAGAACACATTTTCTAGAAAGAAACGACATCTCATTCCAGTATACCTTTTTCCAAATTTCCAATATCTTTCTTCGTTTTCGATAATATCGATATATTATATCAGCTGTTAAAGTCGTGAAATACATAGTCAATCACCCTGTACAGTTGAAACTATACAACTTTCATATTCGGAGTTTTTTTCCACCTCATATAGTTGAAGCTGTAGGTAGGGGTCAAAATATAAGGAGACACCCTGTACATATATCTACTCAGCGAATATATATATATATATATATATTCGAATCTCGAAAACCTATTCGACACGTGTAACGACTATTTTTCATATTTGATTATAAAATAATTCCACTTTTATTCTTTATCCCTAAAAAAATTGGCAGGTACGCCCACAATATCACACTTTTTTCAAAATCAATAAACCGTTGATGGAGGTAGCCTACCTAGGTATTGCTCAATCAAGGAATGAACACATGATTTACATAAAATATTTTCGTACGCCTTTGAGAACTTAATTCGAATGGGACATGAAGGCCAAGTAGAATTAAAAATGAAACGGCGTGCTTGTTTTCCATTCTGTTTCGATACGTCGTGTGTCGTTGGTTGTCGTAGGTATCGAAGTAGAATAAGAATGAATATTCGCATTGCAATTAAGAATTTGTATACCTATGCCATGGATATTCAAGTCAAAATAGAATGATATTTCATTCTTTTGTCGCCGGGATTGGCGCAGTGGAAGAGCGTCCGTCTCACGACCGCAAGGTCGTGGGTTCGATTTCCAGCACGGGCAAGGAACTTTTTTCAATATTTTATTTACGAATTAAATATTGTAAAGTTTCGGAGCATCGGCTGGGGATAGTCCTGCACGATTCGCTGTTGCGTTCCAATTAACAGTGCTGCTCCTAAAGTGGCGCATGGAGTTAGTAACAAAGCCTACACAGAACACGCAGAAAGATATGACGATGTGGTTGTGAGCATCAGAGAAGAAGTAGGACGGTGTATGTAGGTGGGTGTGGAAAACTACCAGCTGAGCGTGAGAGCGGGCCAGCTGCTTAAGTAGACCTCGGTCTCGGGGGTTAACGATGATAGTTAGCAGGCCTGCCACTGCGCATATGGTAGTGAGTACATTACTAGCCTACGTGTATGTAGGTGGGTGCGGAAAACTACCAGCTGAGCGTGAGAGCGGGCCAGCTGCTTAAGTAGACCTCGGTCTCGGGGGTTAACGATGATAGTTAGCAGGCCTGCCACTGCGCATATGGTAGTGAGTACATTACTAGCCTACAAAACACAGCTGAAAAACTCTGAAAAGAGAGCTGATGGGCGGTGCCTGAAAAGGATGTTAGCCAGCTCTCTTGAGCGAACCACATCAGTCATTGAAAACACTTGGGGTTGGCAAAAAGGTCCCATTGGGGACTAGTTGCTGACGTGGAAACGTCCCCCACCAGTACCAGTACCAGTCATTCTTTTGTCACTTGGCAGTCACAGACATCAAAGTAACATGAAAACTCAAGTCGCATTCGAATGTTATTTGATTCTTTTGCCAGTTGAATTTCCATTACACTTTGAGATCGCGGACATCAATGTAGAATAAAAATCAAGTCGCATTCGAATGTTATTTGATTCTTTTGCCAGTTGAATTTCTATTACACTTTGCGATCGCGGACATCAAAGTAGAATAATAATCAAGTCGCATTTGAAATGTGATATAATTCTTTTGTCAGTTGAATTTCCATTACACTTTGAGATCGCGGACATCAAAGTAGAATAAAAATGAAGTCGCATTCAAATGTTATTTGATTCTTTTGCCAGTTGAATTTCTATTACACTTTGCGATCGCGGACATCAAAGTAGAATAAAAATGAAGTCGCATTCAAATGTTATTTGATTCTTTTGCCAGTTGAATTTCTATTACACTTTGCGATCGCGGACATCAAAGTAGAATAAAAATCAAGTCGCATTCGAATGCATTTCAATTCTTATGTCACTTGCATTTTCATTTACATTACACTCTGCTGTAGCTGACATCGAAGTAACATGAAAATTCATATGGCATTCGAATGTTATTCAATTCTTTTGTCACTTGCGTTTCCATTACACTTTGGCCTCACTGACATCGAAGAGACATTTTAACTAAGTCGAATCCAAATGGGACTTTGATTTCAATTGCATATGAACGGTTGCGACAGCTTATATGCAATGGATATTGAAGTAGCAGAAAAATGAAAGCAGAAATAAAATTAAAGTTGAATGAGAAGTAATGTTACATAGAAATCAAAGTAGAATGAGAATGCGAGTACAAAAGTATCTATTATATATGTTATGGCACATCAATTTCCATTGCATGTTGGTACCACGAGTCTTCCGTATAGCAAAAAAATTAACTTGGAATGGAAATGTAACTGACATTCAAATCAAAGTGATATAAAAAACAGTAGCGCCATCTAGCACCGCTTTTGAGAAAAAAAAATTTCCTCTTTCCCAGAGAGGGCGCCAGTAGTTTTCCATGTTACTTGAATTGTTTTGTCACTTGTATTTTCATGGCATGTGAAGAGTTTGCTTCTTACAGATGCAATATAATTCAATGTTCCATAAAAATGCATGTGTAATAGAAATTCATTTTTCAATATGCCATTTTTTAAAGTCATACAACTAAAAGGGTAATGTGGAATTTTACATCCAATTTTTTTGTGAATAAAAACTATATGGCCGTTTTACATTTCAATTGTTTTTAGCATCGATGTGATATTTCAAATTGTAGTACATTTCAATGGCATTTGTGAAAATGTGGACAAACTCAATTTCCATTCTATTTTCAAATTGAAACAACATTTCTACTTGGAATTGAAAAACGATATGGCTTTCTAATTCCACTTGTTAAGAACAGTTGTCGCATATATAAAATTTTATAGATTACATTCTGCTGTACTGCATGTACCATAAAAATACATTATTCTTATTCAATCGAGAATGAAAATATTGTTTCAAATTTCTATTTGCAATTGAAATGCTTGTGGACAAAATAGAAATCAATTCCCGATAATGAAATTGAATATATTTCCCATGGAAATTGATAGGCAGGATACATTCACATTGCTATGTCCAATGCGTTAAGGTAATAAAATTACTATTAACAATGTGAATACCAATTCTGATAATGAAAACTATTCTATTAAAATTATGTCAACTAGAATGAAAAATAAGTAACATTGAAATGGAACATTCAGTCCATGTCGAATAAAAAATAAAACGGCGTTCCATAAACTTGAGACATACGTCGAACGGTGAGTAATGATTCGGGTTTTCCAATACAATTTCATCTACGCGACTTCTACCTTTCAGTTCACGATTTCTATTCGGTGAGTTCATAGCCGTGTAGTGGAATTGAAATTTGAAGGGTTTTTATAATGCTCAGGGTCTATTATCAAGACCCTTCACATCCACTTCAGTACCTGCATCACATTCATCTTTGACATGAATTATTATTAGTGAAAGTGGTTAATTGAGAAAGGCCATCCTTTATATTCTTTTCATCTCATAACATACATCACCTCCAAATATATCCTTCACGGAATGTCTCAGAATTTTTCTCAAATCAACTGGTCCAGCTAAAGGAATGTGTGATTCTTTTTTGTTCAGAAAACAGGAAAGATTGAAGTCATCTCCACACTTCCCATGATGTAAAATTTATTCAAGGGGACATCTTTCGGGCGAAAAGTTCATCTTCAGGCAAAGTAAGAAGTTTATGGAGGTAAAAATAATTGCAATTCTTTTTGTTGAAGCCAATGCCCATCGTCATATTCTCATCGCATATTTTTTCTGGATAAGCAATAAACGGAGTCAGAGTCCTTTGAAATTACCAAACAGAAATTTCTTTCCATGAAAATAAGATATTGGCGTGGATCAGAAATGATTTTGTGTTAAGAATGCGAGTCACACTTCGATTCGAAACATAACGAAGCTAAGTTTGACCACTCCCTTCTGCCACAGGGCGTTGAGAAAGGATAAAATAAGCAACTTTTGTTTTTCCCTGAATAATAATCAGCCATCAGTCTTGCTCGGATTCAAAATTCATGCTAACATTTCGAAAAGTGAATCCATGATTCGGACGAAATTTCATTGAAATTGAACAGGAATCAAAAAAAGAAAGTTAACGGGTGACCAATTTGTCAATTTTTCTACCAGACAATGTATTATCGCGAAACACTCAGGAAAACCCTTTAAAATATGATGGAATCTGCAATAAAGAGGTACTTCATCACCTTAAAGATACTTTATTCATCCTCAACTCATATTTGACATTTTCAGATCGTTATCATAACCCGTATTTAATATTGTATGCATTTGAATATCCCATAATATCAGTCCACAGTGATATAGCAGCATCTTGAGTACTAATTTGCTTTTGAATATCCTGAGGTCCGCTTATATTATAAAAAAAGAATTCATTCTCATCGTTCATAGAATTCAATTCGGTATTATGGAAAACAGGATGCCTAAAAAAATATAAAATGGAGTGTGTTGAATAGTAATTACACCAATAGTAGATATTTACCCATATTTGGCATATGAGTACAGCATGTTCAAACAGGAATTTTTCATTTGTTTCTCATTTTCAGAAAGGTCCTTGGTAATCAATCCTCCGAAGAAATATACCACATCATCGCCATGCCATGTTCCTAGAAGTAGAGAATAATTTACGTATCCTGTTTGATAAAAAGGCAACGGTGCATATTGTGAATTACCTTCAATGTCAACAAATTGGGGGGACCCCAGATGTGAGTATTTCAAAGAGTTTTGTCCTGAATATGACATACGGAAAAAATATATAGATGAGTTTGTGATTCTTGACTGCATGATTACTGCTTGCTCAGCTGGTAGTAAGAATATCCAATCAGTAAACATCTGTAAATAACATGGTCACTTGTAAATAATCATCCAGAAGGGGAAATATCTTTCACCTTTTCAAGATTTTGATGGTTTTCCTTCGACATTGATACTCCATTAGGAAAATAGAAATCTCTGATCCTTCTTGCAGCATCCAGATAATGAGATTCAGGAATCATTCCGTCATAATCCACAATCAGATTAGCTACTTTTTCCCATTGGGAGTTGATTTGGTCAAGATTATTCTCATGTACTGGAAAACAATGAATTACGTCAATGTTTCGAAATGTTCTCAGATGATAGAATAGGTGGAGACATAAGAGATGTTCATGCCAAAACAGCCACGTTCAATAGCGAAACTAATTCAGTCAGTGATCTCTTAGCTTTGCTTAGCAATTATGACATGTCGGAATCAGATGATAAAATCGGGAGATGTATCAAGCGTAGAGATGCCATGAAAAACGATCCACAAGTTTGTTTCACATGTAATAGACTAGGTCATCTCAGCCGTATTTGTTCCATGAAACGAAGCAACGTATCTTCCGAATTTACAAAGGAAGGCAATACATTTGGTGACAAAAAAATACCATTTGCTCCTACTGCAAAAAACGAGTCCATTATGAAACTCATTGCTTCCATTAAAAGAGTGACCATCCATCTACTACTCGAATGAATTATTTTTGTGTTGAATTAGGTGATGATTTCTGCACTCAGTTAATGATTCAGGCCTTCAATGTTAATTGCTTGGATGATACTGAAGTTCACTATCTGAGAACATTGCAAGAAGATTAGATTGTTATTTAGAAGCATCTCTGGTCATTCCAAGAAGGATCGGGAATAGTACTACTATTGCAAATAGTAAAACAATGTTGCATCTGGAAAAAACGCCACAGCTTTCGAAATTTGTTTTGACGTGGTCGATAGGTTAACTATGGCTGTCGATGCCATATTAGAAAGGGATCTTTTTGATCACAAGGGTATGGAAATCCATATAGATTGCACCGGTAGTCGAAAAATTCTGAATGAAAAGTTCAACGATTCTCCGAAAACAGTTAACAGTGTATCATTATTGTCCAAATTGATAAACACTCCATTGAGAGATGAAAACCTAGAGAAACTGATTGGCTTACTTCCAAAATTTATCAAAATTATAACGACGTGAAATTGTGTCACTCCTATACCAACTGCAGAGTTCAATATATTGAATATTAGACCTATATCTCGACCTTCACAAATTGAAAGAAACTCAAAGTCACTACTACAATAGTTCATAAAATAAACAAAAATAGTAGATAACGAGAGAAAAACCATTACTTCTGGCTATATGACACGCAGAACATTGAATTACATCCTTCCAAAATCTATGCAACAATTCGTATGGACGAATAAAATTGCAAGTGTTTCCTTTCTGAACGCCGAGCTGCGCCTAAGTTGTTCAGGATCACGTGACGACCTGCAGACCGGTTTCGAGCTGTTGGCTCTCATCAGTACAAGACTGTCCCAGATGGCTTCTTGACCGCTATCTGGTGCGAACCTGACCCAACGTAAACGCATCTCAGTATTTATACACCACCAAGTACAGTTCATGTACCAATTGGGACATTTTTTTTTATCGCTTGGAGCGCACGAAAGGTAATCCCTATAATGTTCAAAGAACATCGTGCGTTCCTAGGGAGGATAAGGACAGGAGGTAGGTATTGGAATTTTTTTTGATTGTTATACGATCCTGGAAATATTAAGGGCGTCTGTGCAGAGATATTTGAAGGAATGTACCATCAGGGACATTTCATGGTTGTCTAGAAGGGACATCATATAAGATCTGAAGTCATGCCAGAATATGTACTACTCGGGACATCCGATGGATGTGCCTGAAGGAACGTTTGAAATCATATCTCATCAGGGACGTGCCAAGGACATCCTTACATGGACATCCTACAATATGTACCACGTGGGACGTCTAAGAGATGGGAAATATTGATGTTAACACCGAATGATCAGAAATGAGTGGAACTAATGGTATTTCTTCCAGGGAATTCTGGAAAAACATTGATGCTGGCTAAAACTACAAACCACCTTGTATAATACATGGTTGAATCCATATCGAAATAAGCTTTCAGAAGCAGTAAACACAGTTGCTACGGAAGAGTATTTTCAGTTTTTTTTGTATCTCCAATTTAAAATAATAGTTATTCATTATACAAGGGAAAAAAGTAGTAGATTTCAGCTCCATCAGGTTGTGTTGTCTCCCGACGCGTAGCGGAGGGAGACAAAAAACCGTGAGCTAAAATCTAATATTTTTCCCGTGTATAATACACTATTTTTTTTTTGTGACAGAAGGAAGGACGAATCAATATTGAGAAGATATTACATTATTTCAAAATCTGAAAATTATCGACGTGAAATTTCAAGTTTTTAACAGTACGGACACCTTCGTTTTATAGACATCTTTATCATTCTTTTGAAGTAATCAAATATCTGATGTCACTTCTGTCAGTTCAATTCTGTGATTTGATTTTGAAAAATTGCGAATTCAATAGTTGTTTAGTAATATACGAAACCGCGAAGTCGAATGGAAGATAAAAGTACTTGCAGTTCTTTCTCGGAGACGGTATTAATGACTCATTTTTCGGAACTATAGCACAACAAAAGCCATCAACAGACTATATATATGTGATATATATCCGGGAAAAAAGTACTCACTTTTTTCCCACGGGAAAAAAGTAATTTATCAAAAGTGACATTTTATAACCTGCCAACAGAGATGAAATGCCAAAATTTTTTCCCGTCACAGAAAAAAATACATTGTCTAGTAACGGCCGCAAAAATGATAATTTGTGATGGGCAAGTCATGATTACATTGTGAATATATCATTACATCATCATTATTTATAATTGAAGACATCCGCGGTATTTGAAGCACCTTTCCTCTCATCAGCATTTCATAAAATTGACGGTCGTAAAAATAATAACTCATGAAGGGCAGACTATTCTTACATGGTAAATATATCAGTCCATCATTTTCTGTAACTGAAGACATCCACGGTACGTCAAGCACCTTTCCTTTCTTCAGCATTTCATAAGGATGCTCAGTTAGAAAAGGGTTCGCCGGGTTATTCACCTCCACGACTGGGGCGAACAAGGCGAAAGGCGTCTGGTCCAGAGGTTGAAGGTGTTTCATAGAATCGATCAGAAGAGGAGCTGGCTTCGTTTTCAAACACTCCACCATGGTTTTTGTATCAGTTGTTGGACAGCCTACTACGGCTGCCACCGTTTCTGCTCTCGATCTGGGATTTCTCTGTATGGCGAAAAAATTCAAAGCGGTGGCGGATAGCGATAACCCTCTTCTGAACAAACCTACAAGATGATATTCCAAAATATACAGGGTGATTCATGAGAATGTAGGATATTTTTCTCAACTTCCCAATATTTACTCAAGATGAGAAGAATATAAGTTACATGTATGCGAACGGCAGCTTTTCATCAGAGAACAGATAAGTAAGTGAATTCGAGTGAGAATCACATAACTTCAAGTTTTTTAGGGCGCCAATTGATTCAATTGTGAAGTTATCAATACTTGGGAAACTGAGAATGCCAAATGTTTACACGCAAATATACAGAGAAGTGCACAAAAAACGGCCAGGACTGTTACTTCTGAATTATTCGAGATAGGATTCTGAAAATTTTTGTGCAGCTAGTATACCAAATTGCTCATTAATTGACGAAACAATTTTTGTTTTATCACTTCCGGTTTTACTGGAAACGACCTCAACTTTTGATTTTCAAATGGGACACCCTGTATTGTATTCTATAATCGGTAAGGGATTGTCATAACAAATTCATCGATACCAGGTTTGATGAAAAAGTTTTGTAATTGCGAAGTCATACTCATTGAGCATATGTAAACTTCGAACGCAAATATCTTTGAAATCGTTTGAAATAGATGGATAGATAGATAGATAGATCTTTATTGAAAAAGGAAACCCTAATATACAACGAATAGCATTCACGTAAATAACAATAATGATAATAATACATAATAAATAATATTAATTGATAACAATACACAATATTATTAAAATGATTATATAATAATAAAATAATAAAAACATCAGTTACTGATAGTGATAACAATAATAATACCAAAGCTAATAAAGGAGAGTATGAGTTGAATATATACGTAGCTATAGATAATTACATTGACAAATATTTTTTGAGGTTGTTTTTGAAACTAATCAAAGAAGTACTATACTTTACTTGTTCAGGTAGTTTGTTAAATTCGTGAAAACCTTTGAAGAATAATGAATTCATTGGCTTTTTATAATTTGTTCTGGAAATATGAATATTGTTGCAGTTTCTTGTTACGTGATTATGAACATCTCTGTTGAAAATTAAATATGCATTAAAATAAGTTGGAGCCATATTGTTCAGTATCTTGAAAACAAAAATCATAGTGAAATAATATACCCTTTGTTTAACTGAATACCATTGTAGTGTATTTTGCATCAATACAATAGGAGTATCACGACTTGTATTCAGTATTACCCTCATACCACGATTTTGCAATTTTTGAAGTTGGTTTATTTTGTTCAACTCTAATGTAAACAACACCGACGCGCAGTAATCGAAATGGGGTTGAATTATTGCTCGTTTCAAATCTAAAAAAACACTGACAACATATTTGTTACTATCTGAGTCGCTTTTGAATTTACACAGTGATAGTTGTAGTGATGTTTCGCAAGAATAATTTTTTCGACAACCTGATTGATTATTTATTAAAATATGATTGCACGAAATATGTTCCAATAGCTGATCATAAACGGCAATTTCCAGAATTTTTTCAATGGGGGGTAGTGTATTTATAGGTCTAAATTCACATGCTTTTATTGTACCTGTAATTTTCTGAATAGGAATGATGGTACTAACTTTCAAGGAAGTCGGGATTTCACCAGTCTCAAGAGACGTATTGATTAAGTTCAATATTACATGGCCAATGATTTGGCAAATTTCTTTCAACATTTTGGCATTAAGAATTTCACTCAATGAAAGCTTAGAATCAAGAGAATGAACAATTTGTTGCAAAACTTTCAATGATAATGTCTTGAAGCTAGTCATTTCATGATACATGTTATTATTACATTACACCATACTTCAGAATCGTCTATACTTTCAATGATATCATTTATGCTTCCAACAAAAATAACCCTCATCAAACCCGATATCGTTGAATTTGTCATGATAATCTCTTATCGATTATGGAATACAATACGAGGTGTCCCATCTGAAGATAAAAATAGTGATAGAAGAAACATTCAATGAGCGATTTAGTATACTTGCTACTCACTGATTTTCAAAACCCTATCTAGAATAATTCAGAAGTTACAATCCTGGCCGTTTATTGTGCACTTCTTTGTATATAAAAAAATTCTCTTAGGCTGTTGGAATAGACAAATACATGCATAAAAAGTGGAAAGGAATCTTAAAAACCTATTTGAATCCAAATGGACAAGGCACATGTCATTTGCTGCATAGGCCTCGAAACTTGCAATTAATACACTATAGCTATTTGTGTATTTAGAGCACAAAGTGATAGATTGCCGCTCGCCAAAGAAAGTTACCGCGCGATGCGGAGCGGAGCGCGGTAATCTTTGGAGAGTAGCAATAACACTTTATGCTCGAAATACACACAAGATTTTTTCTACTAACGCAGCTTTTGGAAATATCTACCCGAGTATGAGCGATTGAAATAGTTGAAAAAGTTCTTATCCATATTATTCCATATGTCCAAAGGAAACAAAAAAAAAATTAAATAACTGACAAGGCAGAAAAAAAATGTCGGGCCTACCGAGAATTGAAACTGGACCACCAGCGTGGCAACCTGAGCTTCAGACCTATGAGCCATAGTACGATAAACTCTGCAATCAAATTGAACATTATTCAATGATGCAATAAAATAAAGATGCACTGTCTTCCTGATGACAAAAAAGAGTTTAAATATAAAGGATAATTCATCGTTTTCAACAGATATGCTTCATCGGGAGCTTCTTGTAGTAATTTGTTGGTATATATCTTCAGCGGTGAATGTTTTGGATTTTTCTCGCTTTATATCCAATAGATTGTTTCTTGAGAAATGCGATGTTTCAGATACTTTTTGATTCCGATATCATCTTCAACATTCAAGCATGTATACGTACCATTCAATATATAGACCAATGAGTTGATGACTTCAAAGTCTTTGATTTTTTACCAAAATAAGCCAGTTAAACGTTTTCTGAGTGGCACCAATTTATGAATGTATCATATTGTGATTCATATTTCTTCCTTGATTTCTCCGGTATAAGAGATTCAAACTCTTGCGCTTTCTGCTATATCATTAGGAGGTGTGTTCGATGATTCACTGTCACTATTTTCCAACATGAATGAATTGGGGGTATTCAAGAAAAGATAAGTATAGGTTACAGAGATGTGCGAGCGTTTTTTCAATATTTCCGCTCACGAGCGCAAATGCTGTCAAAGAATGACATTTCTGGAAAAACATCTACTTTGAAATTTGAAAGCGTCAAAGGCTACTTTGTTGAGCGTTTGTAGAAAGAGATGATTACTCAATACTCAAATAAGACATGAAACAAGAAATCATCGTAATCCAACAGTCACAAGGATAGTATAGACATTTCGAGGTCTGAAATGCTATGAGAAATCAATGAATATACTAGGATAATTACCCAATAAAGAAGTAAAAAAAAAAATATACAAAAAATCGTCATAATCCAACAGTAACACGGGATAGTATGAAACTTCAAAATTTGAACGGGTGTGGAAAATATGGAGAATGACAACCGCTGTCACAATAAGTGACTATGGAAAAAGAGATGTATAGAAATTCAACTTGTGGGCTCACTCTTCAATTGTTTCGTCAGACTAACTCTCGATATGGAACAATTGCAAGCGAGTTTTGGACGATAGAGGCGCCATAATCGGAAAATCGTTCAAAACCTTGGTTCTGTGAGGGATGAATCTATTTCCATCATTGTTCTGTGGTCGAATAAATACTGTGCTCAACATTTTCATTCAAATTTCAATTTGAAATAGAAGCAAGAAATCTTTTTTGTAGCCGATTTTGATAAGCTTCACTTCTTTCATGACATGAACCTATTTGGAGCATAAAATCTGATGAATTTCCTCATTGAAGAACCAGAACAAAGAATGTATCAACTATTGAAATAGACCAATATCGAAAATCATAATAGGCAGATATAGTAACTGGTACTTATCTTAGAATTTGTTCACACCAGTTCACGCTAATATTTCAAATCACTGAAATAATACTGTTGTAGAGATTTTCTTTTTTATATGGTGGATTAGGTATTATACACAGAATTCACAAACTACGGAACACGTCCCTAACAAACACTTGACTCCAATCTCAGAAATAACCATTTTTTCAGATCAAGAATATTTTTGACATATTGACGTTTCGAGCCTCCGATCAGGAATCAGTTCACTGCTCTGATCCAAATCATTTACGTATCCAAATATTCATCGGTCAGTAATATGTTCCCTTTAAATATGGATTGTAACCAGGATGAGCTTAGCGAGATTTACCCACGTTAAGTATGTTTATCAAAGGTTTATCAGAGTAGGCGCCATCGAGAAACTTGCGAACGACCTCCAATAGGGAGCAAACGCACCAGTTAAATTTCTATACATCTCTATGGGAAAGCTTCGCGAAAGCCTTCATTTTCATATGATGATATTCATATAAAATTGAAATTCAGAAGAAGCCAGGTAAAAAAGCAATTTTTCATATAAACCTGACGTGGTCCTCTTAAGTGACCCAGATCACCCCGATCACAGTCCACTTGGTGTAAGGGTTAGGCAGCATGAGTCACTGCGACAAACACAAACGAAATAGTTGGCCCCTCTGCTGGTCTGGTGGGCTAAACTCCGCTGTCTCTCCTCCTGGTATTTCTCTTGGCTTTAGAACGGAGTCTGCCCCTGAAGTCCAGATTTCTCCTAGTCTCCACTGGTCAAGAGTCCAGGACAAGGTGATGAGATCGTCCTATGGAAGATCTCGACGAGGGATAGGTGATGACCTCAATGAAAAGCCAACAAGAGTAACAAGACACAAAATAGCCTTCATCTGATCGTCCTACTATCCTACGATCCTATATGATCCTACGATCCTCCTACCATCATATGAGGATCCTACGACACTATTGAAGAAAATATGCTCACTTAACATCCTTTATATATCATACCACGTGGTTAACAAAAAAAAATGGAACACAGTCAGATTGGCAAGACAAACCAATTCAGAACATAAATCATTCTAGTATAAACGAGGGAAAGGTGATGACCTCAATGAAAAGCCAACAAGACACAAAATAGCCTTCATCTGATCGTCCTACTATCCTACGATCCTATATGATCCTACGATCCTCCTATCATCATATGAGCATCCTACGACACTATTGAAGAAAATATGCTCACTTAACATCCTTTATATATCATACCACGTGGTTAACAAAAAAAAATGGAACACAGTCAGATTGGCAAGACAAACCAATTAATAATAATAATAATAATAATAATAATAATAATTCAGAACATAAATCATTCTAGTATAAACTGCTTACCATCTGCGAAGGGTCGCCCCAGCACCAAAATGGGGGGCCATGCTGTAGGGCTCCCAGGTGACAAAGGGCAATCTCCCATCGATAACATCACGAATGACTTGGCAAATGGTTTTAGAGCTTGTGAACCATTCGAAAATATGAATCCCCAGAATGGGTTTGACTAAAAAGCCTAATTCATAGTGCTTACCGCCAGACCAACAAGACTGGAAGTCTCAAAATCCCCTTTTTATCCTAACTTTGTCAAAAATCGTTAGTGTCATTTTCCCAAATTCAAACACAAAAAGAATATAAAACAGAAGATTCACTTTCGATCGGGGTTGAATCGTGGGTAGTTTCAAGACTCTTCGATGAACTACGGGCTGTTTCAAGACTTGCCGACAAGGCACTGTCCTCAACTCTCCTCTGCAGCTGTGCATGCTTAGTTCGCGGCTGTAACAATTGCAGACAAGAAAAGTGAATGGTGAACAATGGAACTTCCGGAAGATAAATAAACCGTTTCTTCAGAAGGGGCACGTCTTGATAGAGCAGTTAACCTAATTGTTTTTTTTATAATTCCCATAAAAAAGCTAATTGACTCCTCGATTTCAGATAAGAGAACTTTCTCAAATCAACCTGTCTTCCTCCATTGACACATTTCGAATATCAGAACCTGTTTAGTTGCATCAGAAAGATGAGCCTCAGCTTGGATCATCACATCCTACAGGTGTACTGAGTATCAGAAAGCATGATCACAGAAGCTGGCTGAAAGGTTTTCAATACCAAGGTTTGTGATATGAAACAATCGCAATCAAATGTGTAAACTCTCCCAGGTATTTGCTCCATTTATCTGACTGAGGGTTCTCTGTGAATATGTACAAAATGATTATGTGTTTGGGAATTTGGCACTTATCATTCGATGGTTTTTTTTCGATAATATCTTTGTACTCACGTATTTTTGTCTCAAAAACACGACTTTGATATTGTAAATGTGAACAAACCCCTATTCATCGAGATATCTCACGAAGAAGTTATAAATTTCACATTCTCTTTCTGCTTGTCTTGAAACTATATCCCTAATTTTTCATTATTAGACAATTTATTTATCACTATGTACAGAGTGGCTAGAATTCGAGACTCATCATTGGGATCTCGTAAACCGTAAGAGATACAGGGTCGGTTTAAGTATGGCAAAGTTATGCAATTTGATGCTCAACAAAATTCCGTTCTGGAACTTGGAAAATTCCGAATACTTTCGGAGATATCCGAAAATAATCAAAATTCCATAAAATCGTTTTTATTTTTTTCTTGCGTTATTAGGAGGAATTAACCGATATGAATAACACTTCATCATGGCCACTTTTTTTCCCTACAACATGGCGTTATCAAATTTGAAATCTGACGTTTCGTTTTCCAGAAACCATAATCAACTTACTTTTTCTAAATACGGACCAGGATTTTTTATTTCATTTTTTCAACCTTCAGATAGCTCAAAAACTATGAGCTATCACAAATCTCTATTTTCAAATTTTTCGAAGACTAAAATTCACAGTTACTCTATTTTCTCAAAATATTTCATCCGAAACTATTTTTGAAACATTATTATTCGAGTTATAATTATCAGTAATATAACTGAGGGTAAAAAATATGTGAACTATGTAACTAAATTGTAATAAGAACAAAATGAAATTCTAAAGTAAATGCTCGAATAGTCCCCCTTGCACCTCTTTGCATTTTCGTAAGCGTCTTCGCAAATTACCAGTAAGCGCGCGCTGGATCATTCTTTCTCTACCTCGTAGGGTTCTTATTTCGAAAATTAAATTTCGTCGTAAAATATTCATGTCTTGTGGAATATCTTCAAATAAACGGTTTTTCAAATATCCACATAAAAAGTAATCCACCGGGGATAAATCAGGGCTTCTTGCACGCTAGCGCACCACTCCTTGGTTTCCAATCCACTGCTTGGGAAATGTTTTATTTAGATACTGAGTAACAGCCCTTCCATTGTGGGGTGGTGCGCCATCCTGTTGCCACCATAGTTGCTGGAGTATCTTTAACGGCTCGTCTTCAAGAGCATCTGAATTTTGGATGAAATGAAGGTACCGATCACTAGGTATTCAAATTCCCATCATAAATAATTGGCCCCAAGATTCTGTTTCCACTTGCTGATGTTGGTGCGGATTTTCCACTGTATAATGATGCTCATTATTTCTGTTGAAGAGGCCGCTCGTAGAAAAATTGCATTTATCAGTCCAGATAATGTTATTTAAAAAATCTTCATTCTGTTGCAGTTTTCTATCAAGCCAATTGCAGAATTCTAGCCTTCTTTCATCATATCCTGGTCTCAGTTCTTTGCTGACATGTTATTTATTAGGATGATACCTATGATTTATGAGAATCTTCTGAATTCGGCTTCTAGGCATATTCAATTCTAGAGCAAATTGTCGTGTGGAACCTCGGAGATTTTCCGTAACCTTTAAAATTTCTTTTCGAAACTTACCGCATTTATAGCAGCTCCTTCATCTTCAGCTCCAAATCTTCCGCCATACGCATTTCGGAGCATACAGATTGAAATTCTTGTCCAAATTATTGAAATACGTATAATGCGGTTGTGGTCGTTCGGGGTATTGCTGTAAATATCTCTCACATGAAATTTGCGAGTTTCTATCAGCACTATAATAAATTCGGACCATATCACGTTTTTCTGAATTGGAAAACACCATTTTTGATCGCGCAAATTATTCAGAACCTTGAACTGTCAAACTTTGACTTTGGTTGTAACTTTTTATCTCTAAAAGCATAGCCGCCTTTTCCATTTTCGGTAATTGCATTGAATATTTGTAAAAAATGAAGAAACTGTGAATTTTAGTCATCGAAACATTTAAAAATCGAAATTTGTGATAGCTCATAGTTTTTGGGCTATCCGAAGGTAACAAAAAATGAAATTAAAAATCCAGGTCCGTATTCAAAAAAAAAAGTAAGTTGATGATGGTTTCTGGAAGACGAAACGTCAGATTTCAAATTTGAAAACGCCATGTTGTAGGGAAGAGGAAGTGACCTTGTTGAAGTGTTATTCATATTGATCAATTTCTCCAAATAACGCCAGAAAAAAATAAAAACGATTTTATGGAATTTCGATTTTTTTCGGATATCTCTGAAAGTATTCGGAATTTTCCAAGTTTCAGAACGGCATTTTGTTAGGCATGAAATTGCGCAACTTTTCCATAGTTTAACCGACCCTGTATCTCTCACGGTTCACGAGATCCCAATGATGAGGCTCGAATTCCAGCCACCCTGTACTTCAATGATACATTCTCAATATGAAACCGGACTAGGAATATAATGTTTTTGGGAATTATCTTTATTCATTAATTAGTGGATGATCACACCCGCTGATGAGAACGACCAATCGAAATTCTGTCATCTGTTATTCGATTAGAAGGTGAGATTTATAACTTTTTCGTGGAATATATCGATGAATAGTAGTTTGTTCACATTTTCATTATCGAATTCGTTTCTTCGAGACAAGAATACGTAAGTACCAAAACAATTTTCAATAAAAAAATCCATCGCATGATGAGTGCGAAATTACCATTTATCCACTTGAATATTCCTTAGACTTTTATGAAAATCATAACCAAAACCATATCCGGAAAATTTGTGCACTACAACGAGTGCCTAATGATCATATGGTAGGTAGAGAAAATAATAAAGGCTATCTATAAAAACATTAACATTTTCTGAGATATATCTAGAATCTCGTTGATTCCAAAAAACGTGATTATTCACTCTTGTTAGCACAAACCTTCACTCATCGGTGAAAAATAATGGAAATGAGTACACGATGCTCCTGCATCAAATCCAGTCAGAGTCACGGACTGGGGATTTCCTCCGAAACTAGCAATGTTGCTTTGTATCCATCGAAGAGCCAGTGTTTGGTCTTTTAGACCATTATTGCCGGGCACTACTCCGTCTTCAGTACTCAGAAACCCTAAAGAAGAAGTTACCACCTCAATTGTTACTTGATTTCATGCACTTATTGTCAGGAGTTTCATAATAATTGTTGGATGTTGTTATTTCAATGGTATTCTAGCAATATTTGATAACTTTACGACATACCTAGGATCCCTAGTCTGTAGGTGAATGTAACAAAAATTGCGTCTATGTCCATAACATATTTGGGATTCACAAAATCATTTGTTCCACCAATCATGAAGCCACCACCGTGTATGTGTGCAATCACATCCATGTTTTCTTTCTCATTTATTTCTGGAATATATACATTGATATATAAACAATTTTCTTCCCCTGAAAACGAAAATGACACTATCCAATTTCTCAACTCTGTTGCTTCTAACCATTTCCGTATTGTGCACAACGATAAAGCCTGCTAGCTTCCAAAATTCCACTCCAAGGTTCTATTGGTCGAGGTTCCTGTAATAACTCGGTAATGAGAAATTGAGCCAATCTGGGGTAATCGCATATACGTATTGATAAACAATACGGATCATAACGGGTGCCAGGATGAAGTCAAAAATATAAAACAAATGAATATCCATAAGGATTTGGTGGCATGATACGCATGCGCTATTATAGTAGTCATCAAAGACATGCGTTTCGGTGGACAATGACGTTTACTATCCTTTCAATCAGAGCAGTATGTGTATGATCGTTTCAAAAGGTCATGACATTCTGTTGTTTTTGTTTACGTTTCGCGGACATTCCTAAAATCTCATTTGGCTCTGTCCAATTAATTCAATTTCATAAGGGAAGTATACCTATACTCTATAACCCGATGGAAGTAAAATTAAATGTAAATCAAATATGTATATAAATATGAATAGACCAGAACTTTACTGTTTCATGTGAAATTGTATATGTACTTATCTAGGAATGCATCATATCAATTATGGTTCATTTATGCTATTCCTTATTTTTAAATTGAAAAGCGAGTACCTACTGAGGCAATGGGATAATGAAAATGGGATGAACATATCATAGGGAAACCAAATGTAAGTATTAGCATTTGATATTCTCAAGGGTCATTTTGTAACACTTCATCATTTGAAGAACTTACCTACCAAGATAATGAAGACCTGTGGACAAAAATAAATAAATGATTCCATTCTTTCAGAATTTATATTTCCACTAGCATGTCCTGTATCATTCATAATCATTAAATCATCCTGAAATAATGAATTACATCCCGAAAATCCTAATAATAAAACATAAACATAGTCCATAAATGTCATGTCACTCATGTCAAAATATTCAAAATAATGCGTTATAGGTTAGAATGAATGAGAATGATTGTCATTTGAACTTGCGTATTTGATCATGCGCAGTATCTCACTTTTTCTTATGGATAGTCATTTGTCTTCAAAAATCGGCTTCATGTTTCGCTATGGAAACAGATAGAGATTATCCGTATTTATTATTAATACGTATATGGGTAATCGAAACTGTTATTAATTTTTTTTAGCATCACTGCAGCGCATCATCATCATAATCTCATTACAAGACATTTGACAACTGAATCCTAAATTTTGATAGAACTTCAGTCACGGTGAAGAAGGAATCATCAAGATTTGCAATATAACTATTTGAAGGATATGACTCGGTATTTTATCTTGAATAATCGGTCAAGAATCTGGTTAGTATCTCATCTATACCTATAATCATGGTATGGACTTTCCTCATGATCAGCTATGTCATGTTTGAATGGAAGACAAATGAAAAAATGTCAATTAGGCACCTCAAATCTCAAATTTACAATAGGTGGCTGTGCGTAGGGAATCCCTTCAAAAGATGCATATCTTCTTTTTTCAAATGACTGCTGCCAAGTGCCTCTGATTGCTCCTTGAGGTGTATTTATGATTGGTCTCTCGCCAGAATCGGTGGTAGAAAGTGCTACGAAATGGAAAAATATTTCTTGATCACGGTTTCCATAACAACTCCTTTTGGATATTGGAGATGTGTAATTTTTTTGTATAGACTCAGGAAAACATTTTTGCATTGTCAAAATTGCGCCGCACGCAGGTTCTTGATCAAGATCAAATTCCTTCGAATTGAGAATGAAATGTTTTCCAGACAACAACTTCATCACATAATCACTGGGTGTTCGATAACTAATTGGAAATAATTCAGAAATAAAGTCCTAAGCTCAAAATATAGGGATTCGATCCAAATCATCAAGAAAATGAGTGTCTCTTGTCTGTTACAGGTTGTTTTATTATATGTATTATAATCAAGGATTCAAGAATAATTATAGAATATGTTAGAATTTTGTTTTTGTTTATATGGATTGGAGTTTTATTCATGATATATGCAATCTATTGATCCAAAACATCGACATAAATAATACACATCAAAATCAGAATATTTGCGCAGCTTCATGTTCAATTCGAAATATATCGAAAAATGATGACTTTATTGCTATGTAGAAAGAGTTCGATATTCACGTATTGGAATATTAAAAATTCGTGATAAATGGCAATTCCGCCAGTGACGTAAATTCAGGAAATATCTACCAGTTACTTACCCCTGTCGTACACCTCTGGTTGTAGCCAGAAATGTTTATTTCACATAATTTGAAAGAGTGTACTGTATCTACACTTTCCACCAAATATGACAAATATTCACGTCAATTAGTTTTGAAGTACTAGGCATAAATAATTCTTTTCGGCAACCGTCCGGGAAGTGAGAACTTCCCGGACGGTTGCTTTTTCTTTGAGGAAGTAGCCTAGTCCAGGAAGTATCAAATCATCGTTGTCACTGTTACTATGAAAATCGTGGTAGATATGGTCTTGATAAATGCAGAAGATCATTACCATAACAGCGAAATATCGGCTGACAGCTATTCGACATGTAATTAGTTGACATTTTGATTTTTGAAAGTTTGGTTGCAATTATCGCAATGAACTATCGAAAGCAGTTGCGATACTGAGTTTGGAAATGTCCATACGAAATTTCCAATGTAACAGTCATTCTAATATCACACTTATGTCCCATGGATATCATTAGGACGTCCTGTCGGGACATTCAGGACGTCCATAGGACGTTCGAATTCGGAACAGTGGACGTCCATTGGACGTCTAAGGGACGCACAAATGTCCCACTTGAGGACCAACTAGGGACGTCCTTGAGGGATGTCCCTGGGACAACTATCGAATACCTAAATCGTACAGTATACAGACATCCAGTTGAGTTGATGGTCCGTTAAAGGGCCCCAAAAAGTTTCTCAAGAATGTCCAATGGACTTACGTGAAGGACATTGACGAGGAGTACTTATAGCCTACGAGCAATCATTTGTTGGCGAGGTGTACGTTAACGTCCTCACAGGGACAACATATTGAAAGTACCGACATGAACGTCCATAGGACGTTATTTCTAGGACATTGAAATTGTTCAGTTCATGTACCAATTGGGACATCCAACGGATATTCCTGATTTTAAGGATGTCCCTAAGGGACATCTTGATTGTCATACGATCCTGGAAATATTAAGGGCGTCTGTGCACAGATTTTTTCGAAGGAATGTTCCATCAGGATATCTCATGGTTGTCTAGAAGGGACATTATATAAGATCTGAAGTCATGCCTGGGTATGTACTACTCGGGACATCCGATGGATGTCCCTAAAGGAACATTTAAAATCATATCTCACCAGGGATATGCCAAGGACGTCTTTGCATGGACATTCTACAATATGTACCACGTGGGACGTCTAAGGGATGCTATTTCTAGGACATTTGAAATTATGTACCAGCTGTGACATTCCGTGGACGTCCTTGCTCGGACATTGCATGAGATGTACGGGATGGGACGTCCCAAGGACACTTATTTTTGGTTCGGGACATTCGGACATGAATTGTACCAAATATAGGGACGTCTCTTGGACGTTGTGTCCTATTAGGGTAGGTATAGATATACTGTTGAAATTTCAGTATTCGATACAAATGAGATATAATAAAGAAAAAATCGTATTCTACGAAGAAATATATTATGGAAATGTGTCTCATTGATTTGTTATTCTATATAGTTGCCGAAAAAATAGTGTACGCAACACGCCCAAAAACAGTTTTTTTGAACTCACAGACTTCCAGGACTCGCCTGCGGCTCGGCCTAGAATTTTGTCTACTCGTCCGAAACAACAGTATTTTCCGGACTTGTTATGTAAATCACTATTAGATGTTCAAATAGAACAGGAGACACATTTTATCGAGGTGATTTGGGTTAAATCTTCATATTTTGAGCTCAGGATTCGATAGTTGAAATATTTCTAATTAGTAAGTGTATATTATTCATTTTCATGTTCTCATTGTGAAAAGTATTTTGAGTAATGTTTGTAGGTTGACAGAGTAGATGGATGAACATTTTTGAAGATTTATTAGGAAGTATACATTCACTTAGTATTTAAGATTACTTAAGTGAAATGTTTTTAACACCTTTTTTCAACATTTTCAGACAATCTACCTGATTTGTCTTCCCTATATAGATGAATTGAAAGAACACTTATAGTCCACGAACCGGCTGCAAGTTTGGACTGTTATCTGATAACGAAATGATATATATGTCCGAAGGCATGTCAAAACATTGTATTTTATTGAATGGCACCTGTGCCAATCACCATCCTGAGCAGAATGATTGAAAAATTGCTTTTTTCCGTGCGGTAATTTGCATTTGATTTCAAGATTGGATAACGGAGTATGAATTATTCAATTGAATACCAATTGAATGACAGATCTCGAAACCCTACCTGTGCCATCCCTTGATGTGAGTCAGATCTGTTCAAATCCACGGCACAGCGATTTATTTGCTGCCGTTATTGCGGACATACTTTCGTCATGTGATATAACGAGTTGAATCAATAAGCGAATATCCAAACGTGCCGCGATCCTAACTGATTCAAATATTGATGGCGTTGAAAGATAATATCCGATCCTCCCTGAATGACGGCAATGGTTCACTGAATTTTATTCGACAAACATTGAACAAATCGATTCGTTCTGTAGAAATCTCATATTTACCATGATACAGAGATATTTCCCACCAACCATTCAATACTAATTTGAGCTAGTGAGAAATATTTTCATTATTTGTTTAATGAGCTGAAACTATGTTACGATACATCTTGCATTAGATAGAAAACTATTTGCTACCCCAGAATGTAGACTTGTTTCAATGACATCACTATCATGAATAAATAAACTGTGTATATAAAAAATTACTTACCTTCATCAGCAATCATCAGCATGATAAGAAACAAAATAATGCCTTTTAGAAACATTCCTGGAATCTGGATGCCACAACCTCAATTGAACATTGTCTTATCTATGTCGAAATCAAGAATCAAGATCGAGAAATTTTTCGTTGAAATGGTCTTTAAATCATCAATAAATTCAACCTTGACGATAACAGTACACATTATTAATTAAT